AGCTCCAAGTATGAACGCGTTCAAGAACAGACTAGATAAAGCTATGGAAAAATATATGTTCAGATTTGAAATGCCTAGCTCCTTATCGAACCCGGTGGAAGTCTAGTAGCTTCTTCAAACTATCGCCAGTCATGAAAAGATCCGGTCAAATGACACGAGTTTAGATCTATGAACAAGGCACGAAATGGAAAAGAATCGGCGACAGGCCACATCAGGCCTACACTTCAGAGCCGACATCACTATGTTATGTTATGTTATGTTAGTTGACAGAATAAAAAAAAATTTTAAAATTTACATTTTGATATAAAAAATTATAGTATTTTTTAATATTTGAAAATAAAATTAGAAATTCATTGTACATGTGTAACAACAAAGACACTGGATTCTTCAGAAGTCTTGTCTTTAATTAAAAAGTAATTTTTAAACGTATATTCACTTATGAAGTTAGAACGATACGTTATTGATATTGCTGAACTAAGATTAATGCTCTAAGTCTAATCTATTCGGGTCAGTGTCCGAATGTATTTAGAACAAAATTCTCTGACCCTTTTTCACAGTAAAGACTTTACTGTAGGTATACTCGGAAAAATTAAGAGTACATATGTACGATGATTGGAATTATAACACCCAATTTCACGACACAACATACAGAAACACTAAAGAATAGCAGAAACTTTTGACTGATGCCTTGTTTATTTGAAAATTGCCATGAATAAAGCATATTAAACATATTTCAAACGATGGGGAATGGCGTAAATTTGTCTAAATACTGAAAGTCCTAGATAACTTTGATCAACAAATGAATGGTGCTAGCGTAGATTTTTTCCCGCCAAATTGCGACCCGCGCCTGGAACCTGCCATTAGCATTACCCGCCTGTAGGGTAAAAAACTATGTAGGGTAAGAAATGAAGTCAATAAAATTTCTGTTCAAATCTGTTTACATTAGTGATCAGGCTTATAGTTGGGGAAGAACAAATTTTTTATGATATATATAATGGATGTTTTAGGTAGATACAAGTTCATAATTGTCAATAGTCCATCATATATTTTACTTATCAAGATGAAATAATAATTTATTAGGCGAGTTTTCACCATATATTTTGTAAAAAAATAATTTTTTAAGCTGAAAAAGAAATAACATCAATATGTTTCCTTCTCTGTTAGATTCAATGCCGATTTTACACATTTTGGGGTAATTTAGATAAAAACCTCCTTGTTCGTGATAAAATCAGGATAGGACAGTTGGTCTGAGTTGGATCATATCAAGAAATTTTCTGAAAATGAGAGGGCGGCTCCGAATAATTGGCGACGGTTATTTAGTTTAGATTATTATCGTCACCGTTTCGTTATATAGTTGGTTCTAATTTATTACTTAATAAACGTAAAAGCCATCAGTGCTTATGATGGAAAGTGACCAATCTGAAGACGATAAAAATGTTAATGAGAATAATGTACGTAAACAATTTCAAGAAATGGTTTTGGACTTGAATCTAGATCAAGACACTGCTGAGGAGGCTTGGAGCAATTATGAGACTCTAAAGCTACGCTATGACATGGAAGTGAGTATTTTCGGTTATATCGCACTAACAAATTGAATGAATAAATTGCAGAAACAAGTTGAATAAATACAATAATTGTGTTGAAGTTGAAATGATTAGGCCTACCGGCTCCTAGGTAGGTACTCTCATGCGTCCATAACACAAGAGTTGCCAGTCCAATGAGTCCATAGGGCTAGGCCTAAACAGTGTTTTTAGACTCTTCCTCAACCTCAAGTTCAATCCTGAGTCCTATAAGTAGACCAGCAAAGTATCTTGGATATCAGCATTATTATACAATATACATAATAGGCTATATTGTTTTAAGTCTTGAGTACCTAAATGAGTAAATTAAAAATGACCTGATTCTAAACAATTCTGTGGTTTGCCAATACTGGCCACTGGTGACTGGCCCACCAGGCACTATGACTATGACACTGACGAGTGACGAATAAGCACCGACTGCACCGTGCGGTCCGTGCCTGGGCATGCCAGTGCCACTTGCCATTCCAATGACAAAAAAGCATCGAGGCTAAATCATAGTGGCAAAGCGGAGAGTTTTTTTAGACTCTCCCTCAAGCAGAGTGGAAATCTAAGATTAGAGGTTCACTTAAAAAAAAGCGTTCCGCCTTGAAAAAAAAAAACGTTCCAGGCAAGTGGCAACTAGAAACAGGTTTGCAGGTCGTCAGAAATTGGCCTTGGCATGAACGTTACGTCAGGCAACACAGAGAAAATCCCAATATTGTTAATTGTGCGCGTCACTCACGGATAAGCAAGAGGAATCTACTGAAAGACACGTTGTGCTCAGTAGAACACGTTGTGCTCAGTAGAACACGTTGTGCTCAGTAGAAGTTACAAGGTCGCTACTGACACCAGTAGAAACTCATCACTCACAGTCACCGATGCGCAAGGAAGATCTTGGGAAGGCTGCTTGAGCTTTGCGCCCCACATGAACGTTTCCGAGGTCGCCGGTAGAGACGCATCACTCTCCGGTGAGCAAAGGATATCTTGAGGAGGCCTCCAACGTTGCAGCCAGTAAAGGATGTACTCTTGATTCTGAAAAAAGTTCCATTAGATCTTGCCGATATACTTGAATGCAAAAGTCGCCTATATACGAGTTGATTAAGAGCTACAATGTGTGCATTAGGGGCGGTCCATTCTAGCTTTCTAACGCTGTTTGGATTACAGTGGCAGTGACGTTGCACGCGTTCTGATGGTAATTGGATTCTTATGACTGGCGTTGCACACGTTCTAGCAATGATTGGATTCATTTGACTGTGACGTTGGACGCGTTCAAGCATTGATTGGATTCTTCATATTCTTGTGACTGTTACGTAAACTACGTTGGACACGTTCAAGCGTTGATTGGATTCTTGTTACTGTGATGATGCAAGCACTGTTTTTTTTTTCAAAGAAACAGCTGTGGCATCTTGCAGAGACTCATCAGTGATGATGATGGAGTGAAAGTGGAAGTGTGCTGGACGTTCCAGATTTTTGGGTCCTGCTTTCCAATTTGCTATGTTTACCAGTTAATATATTACCCCTCTGGATTTCCACACTGCCCTCAAGTTAATTTTTGAGTCATATATATAGACCAGTAAAGTATCCTGGATAGCTACATGCATTATCATACATAAGAATTGGTTTCAATTGTGAGTATATGAGGAAATTAAAAATGAACCAATTCTAAATAAAATGTATAAAAAAAAATTTTAAGGACCATGTTTCTCATGTGGACTCAAAAGTAGAAAATAATTTTTTGGCAGCTACTGATCTCTGTTTGCTTTCATTCTCTTGGTCTTTTGTATTTCAGTTGAAATATTTTACAACATCTAAAACAAAAAAGGTGGGGCGCATCTTCATTTAGGCATGCCTTAATTTCAATTTTGAATTCAACCACTATTTCTAATTATATCAGCAATACACTTATCAAATGTTCAATGAACCATCATATTCATCATATCAAGTAGTCACCAAACAATTAAATACATATGCGCCCCCACGGGCCCACGTTTTTCGTTTTAGATGTTGTAAAATATTTTAACTGAAATACAAAAGACCAAGAGAATGAAAGCAAACAGAGATCAGTAGCTGCCGTAAAATTATTTTCAAATTTTGAGTCCACATGAAAAACGTGATCCTTAAAATTTTTTTTTATACATTTTATTTTCTACTTTTTAGTTTTTTAAGTATTTTATTTTCTCCTTTTTAGTCCGTTGCTACACATGAAAAACGTTGCGAGCCAATTTACTTGACTCGACATACGTATCGATGATACAAAGTGTATAATCAATATACGCAGTCTAAACACGAATATTCTCTCGAGGATGATGTGCATTAAAGGTTCCCAACCTCTGCTTGTGAGTTCCTTTAGAGTTTATAACTACTGCAAAAAAGTCAACCATCCTACATAATATTCATTTCATTTCAGTTGGCCATGCAAATGCACAAAAGAAAATTCTTTTCAAAGTTCTGTAGAAAATTGTATTCGAGGGGATACATTGTTGTTCCCGTATTTATCTGGGTGCGTGGCTGTAATAAAGAAAGGTTCGGTAATATATATGCCTGGAAACGTGCAACAAATCATTGATTATTGTATTGTTATCGGTAGCTGAGCTTCCCTAAAAATTTCAGAGCGCTAGCTAGCGGGAAGGTTGGTGAAATATCGATTGCAAGATTTGATCATCACAGACAGAGGGACACGAAAGCGAGCTAAGAAAAACTTGGTAAAATGGTCGTTAACTTTACAAAAAGTCATTGAAATTCCGATGACTCTTGCCACTTTATGAAACCTGGTTTGAGAGTAAATTGAGACAAGAAATAAGCTCCTGGTTTTTCTTGCAAACCAGGACAATTTTCAGCACTCCTTGTTAATTTTGGGACAATACCAAGACCAAAAATTCCACTTGAAATGGGAGGTTTAAAATTTCCCAGAATTTATATCTTTTAAAATGGGACATAGCTAAAAAGACAAACCACTTATTGAAGGGATGTAGACTTTGTTTTTAGTTTATAGCCTGATAATAGACATGTACAATAACTTGAGATGTATTCATTGACAATTCCAAATGTGGGCTTTGCAATTAATATTCATTTTGCTACCTGCATATCATTATTTAACATGGCACTTACTTGTTTAATTGCAAGGCAAGTATAAATTATAGTGCAAATTTGCATATTTTTAATTTTCCATTTGCAATGTTGTACTTTAATGCACATTAATATATTATTTCATGCTGAAGAGTAAAGAAAAGTCTTCAATCACAAAGTCTATACTTTAATTAGGTTTTCTGTAGTTAAGGTCCATCAGTTGGAGCACTAGATGGTCCAGCAACAGGGTCTTGAGTGACAGCACTTGCACTGGTTTTACTTCAATTTAAACTCGCGTATCTTGTGGTAAGTGGCATAACACTTGCACTTGCTATATGACATTTTGTAGTGGTAGAGGTTCAGGAGGATGTGTTGCCATCATTATCCTTGTAAATATTGCCACATAGTTTACATCAGCTTCTGGTCTGGCTTACCTTATACCTCTGCCATCACCTTATACCTCACTGGCTTTGAGCTCCAAAAAAATTTCCATATACAGCAATCCCTTGATTAGCACGGTTTTGAATACCGCGGTTTTGATTAACGCGGAAAAAAATTTGTGACCTACCCTTAATCTATGCGGTGCCAGTTTTGATTAGCGTGACTTTTTTTTCACAACGCATCACTTTCCCGCCTCTCGCCAGAGGTGTTACGTTCATAACAAAAGTGTTACTTTTTGCATATTACATCTTATGTTGTTACTTTTGTTACGACTTTTGGAAAAATTTGCCAAATGTTGTTACTTTATGAATTTCAGCCAATAATTCTTTAAATAAGGTCCTGTTCCGTAGGCACTTGTGCTGACTACAGAGTCGGTTTAACCGTGCCTTGTCTCGTTCAAAACTCGAATGATCGAGTTCGGCAATGTTCGCCGGTAAGTGTGCCATGCCAGTGATCTAGCCCTTTAAGCCCTGGTGTGACAAATTCGTCACACAGAAAATAAAAGCTTCTACCGAGAGTAATTACATGTTTGAAGTCAGGAGTCTAGCCGCAAGTGTGACGGTAGCGTCACATGTGAACTCGTTCGAACGACGTTCGATGGAGTAGGCGCGTCGCTACTGCCAGTTTAACACAAAGACTGCGCGTGATCTGAAAAGTAATTCAGATTGTTTTTTCACTTTCAAAACATAATTCAGTGCATAAAGGGCTAGTTACTCGTTAGCCTTCAACTGGCCAAGATTGCTGCCATATCTACTGCTCAATTTTATCAAACTACATAATTTTCCTTTCCTTTGCTATTTTTGAGGATTCATTATAATTATTCCCATATATTCTTAAGTTTGATTAGCGCGGTTTTGCTTAACACGGTAAAAATTGGGGATTTATTAACCGCGTTAATCAAGGGATTGCTGTATTGCCCTTGACTCCAGGCATCTTGCATGACTAGAGAGAATGGAACATGTACTGAACTTGTACAATTCTCATGTAAGGCTCGATTAAAGGCTAGACATCAAAATCATTCACTCAATATTCAGCCATACATAGCCTAATCTGCCCATTAACTTAACAAATTAGTTTGGCAGTCAAATGTTGCCCCCCATCTGCACATGACTTGCAACTGTTCATTAACAATCAGGAGATAACTTATTCCTTACTCCGCTTGCTCGGAACATCTTGTTTTGTCTTGAATATAGAAGGTATGTCTTATCTCATTACGTTAATTCTCGTTTCATTTCTGCCTGTCTGGTATTGTTTTATAATTGCCGGGACACAAGTTTCAAAGTTCGGGACACAAGTCTTGTCCCTGTTCATACATTTATTCCAGGAGAAATTGTACCCTCTGTCCAGGCAATTTCTGGAGAAAATTATTCCGCGACTCAAGAGTCTACTTGTCAGAACTATGATTTAAAGCATTTTATTTCCACATAAAATATTTAATCAACTAAGAAGTGGCTGGTAATCTCAAAAAATTGTAGTTTGTTTTTTATATATTTTAAATAGACTAGGTACTTCTATTGAAGGCTGATAAAATAGGAAGAGCTGTGGTAATTTAGGTCCAATTTGTAATATTGGCTGAATTTTCCAATTTCCATTAATTTTGATTTCACAACACTTCTCTTTAACTTCACTTCTTGTTTGTCTGTCTGTCTGTCTGCTACAAATATTATAATCTATATTTAACACACTTCTACCTGTCCAATTGATTTGAAATTTGGCACACTTGTGTAAAGTTGGAGACAATGCATGACTCGATTGACAGAATAAATAATTTTTTTAATTAAAATTTTTTTTTTTTTCAATATTAAAAAAATTGAAAAAATAATTTTGTCCGCTACAAATCTTATAACTGATATTTGACACACTTTTACCTGTCCAATTGATCTGAAATTTTGCACACTTGTGTGAAGTCGGAGGCAGTGCATGAATCAATCGACAGAATAAATTATTTTGAAAAAATTTATAAATAAAAAAACTTGAAAAATAATTTTTTTATGTTTCAAAAATAAAATGAGAAATTCATTGTACATCTTTAACATTGGAGACACTGGATTCTTTAGAAGTGTTGTCTTTAAAAAGTAATTTTTAAACGTATACTATTATTTAAATGTGTGATTATTGAAAACAAGGGCAAAAATATGCTGTTATAATTTTTCCTACTTTTTAAATAGAAAAATTAGGCTAAGGCCAATTTGGAATTATTTATTGGCAGATTTTTCTAAAATATTCAATAAAAACTATTTTATTGTATTCACAGGTGGTTTTTAAATAACTGCTTGCTGAAATGCCCTATTTCTTATTATATGTCATGAGAAATATTAGGCAAAGTCAATAAAAATGGCTGAAGTTAACTTAAGTATTGTCATTTTTTTGTCTTGTTCACTAAGGCATGATGAAATTATACATTCATTTTAACTTACTTTAGTAATTTGGGTTACATGAATGCAGCACTCAAATTGAGGAACAGTGCTCTTGGCCGTCAGACAACCTCCCACATTTGCAGCTACTTTTACACTGCCTGCCAGCTGTGAAATGAAGCTCAGTTTTAAGTCACAATCAGGCTAACACTCACCCTGATTGAACAATGAATAAACTATCTTCAACCATAAAATCTCTTCACACTCTGTGCTGTAACAAGAAATCACTCTAATCTTTGAAGATCATTTAGAAATTGAATAAAAACAAGATTTTGTCTAAACAGACATAAGGTATGCAACAGAAAATTTCTGCTACAAATTATTTTGACCTCAGTTACACTTACTTCCTTGTAAATTTGGTCTTTTGTGCTTTTAATAAGTAAATGCCAGGCTGATCAGGTGATAAGGTGAGCTGTATTGCACTTCATGATCATTTATATGTTTTAGACAAAAATACTTGGTAAAGTTGAAAATTACTTGAATAAAATCCAAGTAGTAGAATTTAAATTTACTAGAAAATAATTAAACTTCACTGTGGGACAATTCAAATGATAAAAATGATTAAAATAGAAAAGGCCATTGGTCAACAAAACTTCAACACTGCAAGATTATTGACACTTCACTTGTGTGAACTTGAGGGTAAGAACAGGCAACTCAAATTTTCATGTACTACTGAGTACCAAGTTTTCCTAAAAAATAAACAGAAAATAATCTTTCATATGAGAATCTGATTGTTCTATTAAAATTTTAGTTCATCTCGTTAGAGGTTTGATATTTTTTTTTCTAAAAATCATAAATTATATGTATGCTAAATTATGACAGCTAAATTCATGTATAAACATTCCTAGATTTAACATGATTTCCCAATTTTTCTATTAGATAAATTGGGTTTTGATGAAACTAAAAATGATTATTGGATCATGATTTCTAATATGATTTGAAAATTGGTTGGTATATAATTAGCAACAGGATTCAGTATTATTGAATTCAAGAGGATGATACTTGCAACAACATGACATATTCCATATCATAGCATATGGAATATCAGATCATATGGATATGTTGGAAGCAATATTGTACGGTAACATTAAACTAGAGCATAGACCACACCTAGAATCAGGGTAACTCAAGTCTTGCACAATGCTTCCTATCTTGACTAATAGAAACTGTGACCTGTATATAGTCTTGACTAATAGTAACTGCATATATATAGTCTTGAAACTGCATTTATAGACTAATAGAAAGTGAGTATAGGGCTAATATATAATTAATACTGCTGGATCCATGTTCTTCTATTTTGTCTATATATGCTTTTGAATATCATCTAGTGTGAAAAAAATTGCCCATCAAACCTTAAATGATTTTTTGAAGTGGTCAGTTTGAATCTCTTGAAATTGTGAATTGATTTGATGGAGTGTAATTTTTAAATAATGAATACATCTATATAGATCCTAAAACACACAAACTACTCTCATAAAATTTGTCTTATAAACTTTTTCAAGTATGTATTATCTTACTTCAGGGCTGCCAAATGTTCTGGGTGGCGTGTTCCGTCTTCTTCTCATGTCGGCAACGCAAGCTGCCCACGGTTGGAGGTCGTCCTGAAACCACTGTTCGAGGCAATTGCATTTCACTCACGCGGTTATTGCATTTTTGCAAACTAACGTAAGTTGGTGGATATAACTTGATTTGAAATCTAAATAAACTCTGAATTTGACTGCACTGTGTATTAATACACATACCGGTATATATCCAAAATTATTTATTGTTGATTTTGAAACCACTGCTGAAAATTGTGCTTTAAAAATTGTGTATATTTATTGGAGTTTCTTTTTTATACTTGTACTTATTTTACTTGTTGAATAATTTTGCATAATTTATTTATTTTCAGAATGGTGGAATTTGTCCGCAAGACACGACTCTGGTTGAAAATGACCCATATGGATAGTGAACATGTTAAATTTGTTGACCAGCTTGAAACAAAATTTGCTGTGTCAAATAATATTTACAGAAAATATAGACCAATATTCTTAGATCTGTTTGTTGATCCCGCAAATGATGCACCAAGACCTGTGCGATCAAGGAAACAAAAGAAGCCCCCGTGCAATGCAACAGAAATATATCATTTCTGCTGGACTTTGTATATACTAGTTAAAGGTGAGGTCTCAATATTAAAGATTATTTCATACCAAGCTTCAGTGGAACAATGTTTTCTATTGGGGGTTAACTTTCTTATGAATATTTGCTAACACCTGTGTGAACCAATTGACATTTCACATACTGGATGTAGATGCTTTCAATGGAATGAATGTTCAAGTTTTGTACAATTGTTGAAATTTGACTTTATACTTTCAATTTGGAAATAAGTTTGCTAAAATATTATTTTTTTGAGTGCTGTATTACTGTATGTAGAAGGAATGACCATAGACATCATCAATAATAATGAGATGAAAGTTAAACATTGCTTTTCATGAAAAATTGTAGAGAAATAATTTCATGTCACGAAATCCTGGCATTTAACTGTTTTCATGTAATCATATTTTGTCACATTTTCCTCTTCAAGTTCTTTCATTTGCATTACATGCATTGATTAATGATTAAATAACATTTAAATAAATTTTCTTCATTCTCCATCCATAGTTTTGAAAAAAGTATTGCTTGATATGTGGACAATTGCATTGAGATTCGGGTCTTCCTGAAACAAATTATTACCTACAAATGCTTTCCAAATATGATTATAACTTATAGCGTCATATAATTTTTATTCCATTCAAAATTTTAATTTTAATAATGTTAGTTAAATCAATTATATTTTTTGGTAATATAACTCCAAATAACTCCAGGTTTTGGTGCATTGTAGTAGAACTCTTCTAGTTACATATTCAAATGACAAATTTGAGGAAAGTGTCATAGTTTGCAAATGGGGGGTGCCACCCCTAAATGGGGGAACTTAGACCACCTAATATCAGCCATGAAGGGGTAAAATTGACCGGCTTGGAAATTAAGTTAAAATTACCATATATAAGACTGTAGAGTCTGAAACATGAAGAAAAAACATTAATAGGTGTATCAAACATGAAATATGTTATATATATGGTAATTTTGAATTAATTTCCAAGCCGGTCTATGTTACCCCATCAGGGCTGACATTAGGTGGTCTAAGTTCCCCCATTCAGGGGGGGCACACCCATTTGCAAACCATGACACTTTCCTCAAATTTGTCATTTGCATATGTAACTAAAAGAGTTCTACTACAATGCACCACAACCTGGAGTTATTTTAGCAAAAAATAAAAAAAATGGAGGGGGGTTCTATGACAGGCTTTAAATAATAGCTCTTTTTCATGAGTCACATTTTTCATTTTTTAACCTATTAGATATGCATACTTTTTATAATCTTTCTATTGTGTTACGTAGCCTCAGTATTAGGCTTTTAATGCCCATTGACAAAATTTTTCTATGTCAAATAGTTTTTGAGTTTTGGGGGTTTTTGTTAAAAAAACTAAATTACCCTGGCAGTCTAAGTTACCCCATTTTACGGTACTAAAATTATTCTTCTTAACAGGAAGATATCCTGGCATCACACAAGATCTCGTTATGTTGTATTCCTTGCTGCTCTCCTGCATTGATCACTTCTATGCCAACATCAAAAGTATGGGGCGCATGGATCTCCTCAACCCTCACTGTGAAGGTAAGTGAAGAAATAAGGTGTGCTCAAAGTTAATTATACAAGCTTATTAATTATTGTTAAAAAATAGCTTAATTTGCAACTACAATATATAAAATTATAATTGCAAATAATACTGGTGAAAACCTTTGGCTGTACAGGGTCCGCCATATTTATGGCAACAGATGTTTGCTATATAAAATAAATTGGTTTCTAGGAGACTTTTCTTTTATAATGAAGCTTAATATCATCTATTAATTCATCTATTTTATATTGCAGAAGTCTAAGGTGTCTAAATTTACTATTACTTATGGCAGTAGATAGAAATGCAATTGTAATCCTTCACAAAAGGGCGAGAGTAATTCAGTCATTGCAAAAAAGCTCCAAATTTGTCGTAAAACTGTGTGGAAGGTGGTAAAAAAATTCAAGGAAACTGGTGAAGCATGCAATCGACCTGGTCAAGGAAGGAAACGAAGTGTCCGAACAAAACAATAGGTCAAAAACATGAGGGAGAAGTTGAGGAGAAACCTTCGTCGCTCAGCTGCAAAATTGGCTGCAGGAGCAGGAGTCAGTCAGACATCAATGCGTAGAGTCCTCAAAAATGACCTCAAAACCTCCCCTTACAAGATGCAAACAAGGCATGAACTAACAGACCGTCATGAAGGAATGAGGCTCGAAAGATGCCAGCACATTCTAGATCTCATTGAGGATGGCACGCTGCCCAACTTGGTGTTCAGTGACGAGAAAAAATTTGACATTGAACAAAGCATTAACTGTCAAAATGACAGAGTTTGGAGTCAGGATGGATCTGTGGCAACCAGAACAGCAACACGACGTCAAAATCCCATGTCCGTGATGGTTTGGGCCGCGGTTACCGCCACTGGGAGGTCCCCACTCGTTTTTGTCCCCTCAGGAGTGAAATTGAAGTCAGCAATACATTTCGGACATTTTGGAAGCTGTGTTGTTACCTTGAGCCCGTAAACATTTAAACGGCTCACCATGGAGTTTTCAACAAGACTCAACCCCATCACATGACTCAAACATGACCCAAAACTGGATTCAGGGTCACATCCCAGCATTCATTAGCAAAAATGAATGGCCCTCAAGAAGCCCTGATTTGAATAATCTCGACTTTTCTGTGTGGGCTATTTTAGATAGTAGGGTCTGCAGAACACCTCGTGATTCTCTGGTTAGTTTGAAGTTTAAATTGACACGAGAATGGGACTTGATCCCTCAATAAATGCTGCGTGTCTCCTGTGAAGTTTTCCCGCGTAGATTGGAGGCCGTCATTTAAAATAAGGGTGGTCATATTGAATAAATATGTTTGCGAATTGTTTAGGTTATTCTTGGCTATTAGCTCATCCAATAAAAAAGCAATGCACACGTTTGTTTTATTGAAAAATAACAAAAAACATGCATTGCCATAAATATGGCAGACCCTGTACATGTAGTTAATTCAAAGTAATTTTTGATCATGCTTGTCTCATATTTATGAAAAGTATTCTAATGAATACTTTCATATTTATTGTTCCTGAAGGAGATCTATTAACCAGCTTGATGAAGCTATTTTCAATTCTGTATAATGTTTTTTTTCCAGGGTATCCCAAAGACAAGGAAAGCAATTCCATCAACCCTGATCAGTTGCCAGACTCCATCATGGATTATCTGTGTCGTAAATTTGAAGGCGTTGTGGTCGAGACGAAAGTTGTGCGTGACTATTACTGGAAACCTGACATGAAGAGACTTGTGGATGCTAAGGTGAGCTACCTTCCTTTTAAATTCTTATCAAACTAATATTTTTGGATAAATTGGGGATTTTTATTTATACTTATAGCTGAATGCAATATTTAAGTATATATATATTTTTCAGTTGCTGAAAAGTTCCCCCAATGGATTGTGCTTATTGGAGTGTCAAAACTTTGAACACAATAATAAAGAAGTTCGTAATGCATATGAGGCATACCTGCTCACGTCTGGAGAGTTTGATGACCGTATGTTCCTCACCAATGATAAAGTTTTGGGCCTTCTGGACAACAATGGTTCATCTCCTGTGCCTACGGCTCCTGTCACGCCCATGCCTCATCTACCTAAGAGGGGACTTATGCTGGTATGCATCTTTATAATTCCATCATATATGATAATGTCCAGCATAACTTCTGAGCTTCACCTATACTGAATTAAGGTACTAATGTTTGATGTATGTGAAAGAATTGATAGTCTGTATTATCATGCACCTTAGCCAATTTTGCATCTAGATTTCCGCCAAATAAACATTTTAACGCCCCACAGCCAGGCGACCACCACCTAATGCCCCAGACTCCGCTCAGTGGTCGTCAGGACAGCCCAGGCAACCTCCTGCCAAAGCGCCAGTATTCACCTCTGGCGGCCGCTGCCACGGCGCTCAACAGACTTTATTCCCTTGTCAACGGCCGCACAACTGGGCCCTCACCTACCCTGGCCAGCATGCTTGCGTCAGTTGTTACGTTGTGACTTTTTATAAGATTATAAGAAGGATGACGTGGTAGCAACATTAATTTCAAGTTGAGGCTTGCTATAAGAATGATGACGTGATAGCAACATTCAAGTTGCGTCTTGCTATAAGAATGATGACGTGGTAGCAACATTCATTTCAAGTTGAGGCTTGCTATAAGAATGATGACGTGATAGCAACATTCAAGTTGCGTCTTGCTATAAGAATGATGACGTGGTAGCAACGTTCAAGTTGAGGCTTGCTATAAGAATGATGACGTGATAGCAACATTCAAGTTGAGGTTTGCTATAAGAATGATGACGTGGTAGCAACATGCAAGTTGAGGCTTGCTATAAGAATGATGACGTGGTAGCAACATTCAAGTTTGGGCTTGCTATAAGCTTGTGTTGGTTAAGGCCTGTAAGAGGAATGATGCGTTAGTTAAGTTGAGATTATAATTTTATTGCTTTCTCTTAACTGATTGATTATATGCTTGCTCTTTTTACTGAAGAACTGAAGATGACAATCAAGATTTTCTGTAAATTACTGTTGATGCTTTGGCTACTTAATTCAATTCTGGAATGAGTGCATCTTTTATGGTGAGATTTTAAAATGCCGTGACTTTAAAATGCTCTGATACTAATTGAAATATTCCTGCAGGCGAGTGTCACCCGACCCAATGTCTGCAATACAAGAACTCCTGACGGAAATGGGGACTCGCTTCTGCAAGTTTTATTGCTCTGGAGATTCTACTCACAATATATCGCCTGCTCAGCTAAAGTCTAGCAGCCAGCCAGAGTCCCAGAAGAGCTCTGAAACAACCCACGGCAAGCCCCTTGAACGCAGCCATTCAGCAAATAGCATCAAAACTTCCAGCAGCTACGGCCCATCTTTGGAATTTGCGAAGATGAGACTAAGAACTGCTCAAATACTCTTTTTCACCTTCTTGGAGAGCATCATCCAAGACGAGACTAAGAGAGGCATTGATATTAATGTGAGTAGATATTTATAAATTTGGCTAATTCTCAAGTTCAGTTCCAATAGATGGCTAAGCGCATTCCTATGAGTATTGTGATTTAAACAAAGACCATTTCCTCCCATAATCATACCCTTTATTAGTCGTAAGATTTTGCTGCGAGATCCAAGTTAGTATTTAATAGAATAGGTTTTTGTGCTGTACTTTATGGTGATGAGAACTGTTCATTAATGTGTAATCTCATGTGCAGGTGATTGTAAAGCAGTCCCTGCTCTTCCGCACGCTATTCGTGTGCAGCATAGAGCTTGTGCTCACTTGTTACAACGACCCTCGTCGATTTCCTTGGTCTTTGCAGGTCTGTGACCGTTGCCATAAAATCCCTATTTCCCAAAACTCATTTTCAACCCAGGATATTTCCAATTTCTTTGAATATTTGCCAAGTATGGCAGTATTCCCATAATGCAATCTTCCACCTGAGCTGATCTTTATAAAACCTGCCAATCAAAAGCTGCCATGTTTAATTTGTTGAATTTTAGTTAGATAAAAGTAATGGAAAATACACATACATTCTGGTATGCTTATTGACGATGTGTAGCGAGTGGTTCTTATTTGTTTGAAAAACTTTCGCAAAATACTCTCCTCATTGTTACGTTATGTTTTACAAACGTGACCGATAGAAATATTTTAGCCCATAATTTCAACATTTACGGGTATATCCAGATAATTAATTATTGTTTCAGTATATTCGATCAACTAATATCATAATAGCAATCATGCACTGGTTTAGATACAAGCCATACGGCTATGATTTAGGCTAACTTAGATTTATGAAAATAGACATAATTTAGTGGAAGTTATTGGGTTGTGGCTAGGCATTTTAAAGTTATATTATAATTGAATGACGGACATCAGCATCAATAAAATGCCAGTAGATCTGAATGCTGAATAAGGTTATTGCAACAGATAATGCAGACAGATGCTTTGTAGTAAGAATGAAAAACAGCTTGTTCAAAATTGCATTTATTCAAAAAAGTTGATTAAAGAAGTCGGGTGCCAATTGAAAAGCTCCTCTTTTAATAGTTAATAATAATAATCAATGAACATTGAAATACTGAGCAATATAATTAGAGTAACTTCATTGCTGAAGCTTCAATAGATGAAAAAATTGTTTATTGAAACTACCTACTCATTTGACATTCTTTGAAGTTATTTTTATTTAATAAGTGAGATCGTGTGTATGATGAACATGATATGCAAAACTTACCATTTATCCGCAAATAGAAAAGAGCAAAAAATGTTCGGTGAATCATTCATGATTAATTCTGAAAGTCAGTACCTATCTGAAAATCTAAAGTTATTGGGCTACTTCAAAATGTACTTATATTATTCACATTTGAGCCAAAATTTTCATTAACAAACGTTTCACTACTTGAGAGAGTAAAAGGAATCGTATGAACTGAACTTAACTTCAATAGTAAGATCTACCTTAGTACATATACATACTCACTTCAATTACTGTGATTCAAATTTTTGAGGTTTTAGTATAATAAATAAATGTATAATAATGAATAATTTAGCATAATAAATGCAATCTTCACAATAATGTACGAAAAACAAATTTTTCCTCAGGTAGGGGAGGTGCCTGCATATCACTTTGTACGCATCATCGAGCCTGTGGTTCGGTCCGAGCAACAATGTGACAACAGACTCTCTAGGGAGCTTGTTAAACATCTGAAAAGGGTCAGCTAATGGCTTATTGCTGCTTTTTTTAGTGCATACGACTTTGTATTGGTCCTTACCTTTTGGCATTAAAATACTAATGCACTAATTACGATATGATCATGCCATCTCTGTTCACTGAGCGAAATATATTTAGAATGTCATTGTTGGATTATTGACGATACAATAGAATTTTGCCAAGTATCTTTAGTAACTTTTTCCTCCACGTTATAGATCGAGGAACAAATTTTGGACATGCTGGCATGGCAAACTAACTCGCCACTTTGGACAATCCTTGAACAAGATCCTCGAGGCGTGCCGTCATGTAAAGATGTTAATTTCTCTCACCTGCTCGACACCGTTGAGAAAAATGAAGCTCCCACCAATGGCAACAGTGCGGCAAATGGCGACGATGCGTCTTCTCCAGGACAGTCACTGGGTTCTCAAGCTGCGGCGTCATCGCTAATGTCGCCAGGCAACAGAACTAATCAACTCTCCAGGCCATTCAGCAGTGAGTGAGACGCTTGCTTCCTGTTTAAATATAGCTGCTTTCCTTTTGATTGGAGAAAGGTTCCTGATTAATCAAGATGATGTGGTGTATCTCAATAACAAATAAACTATTTATTCTAAGTAGTATCAGTGTTGTGCTCAATTTTTATGCTTTGCTTTGAAAATTATTGCGCATCTTTTTAATCCCCGTATTTTTACCACATTTTTCAGGCCCACTCCAGTCCCCACTGTCATCTGCCGCCAGTGAACGTCTTGGTTCGTCACCATCTTCATGTATGAACGGCTCTGTCAAGAGGGCCTTGCTCTTCCCTCCCGAGTCTCCCAAAAAACGTTTGAAAGCTCCCAATGCAGATAATTCTACGCATGTGCCCCCTTCTGCTAGCTCAGTGCGACCTGCCGCCGACGCCGCGCCCGTTGGGAAACAAATGAATGATCCAGCAAAACTGGTTGAAGTAAGTTGATTTACCGTTTTTTTGTGCTATGCCTAACTGAATTCATGGAAAGTGTGGGAGCCAACCTACGTATTTTTGCCAACCTTTTTACTGTAATTTATTGTCTTGTGTGCTATTGATAGCTAATTTTTTCAGGAGGATTCTTCTGGGATGCGACCGAGAAGACACGGCTCCCTCGCGCTCTTTTTCCGCAAGGTCTACAATGTCGCGAACTTACGTCTGGGAGACTTGTGTGACCGACTCCAGGTGAAAAAAATGCTTGGCTGGAGTGGTCAGCCTGAAGTTTTTCATATTGGATTAAAACATGAAACTAGACCTTCTCTTATTACTCTGTTGATATTTGGGACTAGGCAGGCTAGATTGATTTTCGCTATATGAAACAAAATTACTGACGTTTCACCCATGTAGGACTGTTATACATTTTTTCATTTCTAGTGATTGAAATCGATCGTGGAAAAATGACAGTTTGTACTCAAGATTTTAATTTACCTCTGAAGTTTCAGAATGTTTTTTATCAATTATAGAATAATTGGTCATGTATTGATCCTATTTCATCGAATTGTTCTTCCTTGTTGAAGTTTTATTTTATGGCTTGGAATTTGGCAACAGATTGAGAGTGAGTTGCGACGCAAGATTTGGACATGTTTGGAGTATAGCATCATTCAGCACACTCATCTTCTACGCGACCGACACCTTGACCAGCTCATAATGTGCGCCGTGTATATTGTCTGTAAGGTAAGCGGTACCTGGAGCATGTAATGAAAAACTATAAACTAATCTTGAACGTGTTGCACTGATTACATAAAAAAAGGTCTCTCGAAAACGATGTAAGTTTGAATTCGGTGAAACAAATCCATTTGGAGAATTCTTTGTATGAAAAAAACTTTGGTTTGATGATTTAAGAATCAATTACTGTTGTTCTAGGTTATTTAAGGCATTTTGCTGTAGCTTTTGAGAAACAAATTAATAAAAAGTTTCTAAAGCCCTTTAATGCATGATTTGACAATCATAAAATGCGGTACTCATTAGAAGTAGAGTATGCCATTGCGCTATAAAAATTCTCTGTCCAAGTTACGTGAAGATCTCCATGTATACTAATTCATTGTTCACAGGTGACCAACCACCCAAAAGAATTTCAGGAAATCATGAAGCAATACAGATGTCAACCACAGGCTGATTCACTCGTATATCGCAGCGTACTTATCAAACGCATCTCGGCTGAAACAGGTTTCATCACAATTTATGTTTTGTTACAATTGGAACGTAAAATAGATAATATATGCGATATAATTTATTTAAGCGCCTGGTTTCCTATTTGGGTAGCGGTAACCTCCAATTGATTTTCTATTAAAACAAATTCTATTCCTTACTGCTTATTATTGAATTTAATTCAAATTAGAACAAATTCTGATCTTTATAGTATATCTCTTCATAACGTAAATCTGAACTTATTAGTGATTATTTTCTTACAAACTCGATCTCTTGTTGACCAGGCGCTCCTGTGCAACCTTCAGAGACCGCCTCTCGCACCAACAACCTACCGCCGTCCGGCCTCACGCCCGTCTGTGATAGCAACGCCTCATCGCGTTCCTCAAGACGATCCAATTTGTTTCCATGGCAAGTGAACGGAACTTCGACTAACTTCAAGAATGAGGAGAGAGGTGACCTCATCAAATTCTACAATGATGTCTACGTCGTGGAAACTAAAATGTTTGCTCTCAAGTTCAAGCCCAGCAATCATGACGTGAGTCGAGCGTTTAAACCTCAAAAGTTGTGTTATTTTAACAAATTAATTGAAAAAGTGGTTGAAAATATAAGTTCAGCATGCACTGTGTCGGAGGTATACTATTATGAGTAATTTATATAGAAAAATTTGTTTTATTTGTGATTAATTCGCATGTCTGCTAGCCTGATTTACTCTATTTTACGAACAATGTAAAAAATATCTTTACTGCTCATTACGTTAACCCTAACCACTCAAGTTAACATGCAGAGAAAAAATTACTGTGTTCATTGTTAACTACCGCGTATAATTCTATGAATCTGTGTTTGTGGTCCCTAGGGCGTTGCGTCCAACTTACCTCCGCTGTCGCCGGTGCCTATGGTGCGTATCACTCCTGGGTCGCCGAGGCGTCGCATTTCGTCCAGTCTTCCCGTGTACGTCCAAAGCCTCAATCTTGCAACTTGTGCAGCAGCTGTGTCACCTCGCCATCCGCTCCCCTACTTATTCAACTTGAGCCCCAAAAAGGTTCGAGCCGATTGAATTTTTTTTAATGGAAGTACGTACCGCTTATGCACATCGATTCAAAATATTTCATACCACTATGGAGATTTTAATGACTAATGTGTTTTTTATCGTAGGTGCATTCGCACTTCCCCGGTTGTTTCGATTCCATCATTCCCATCGGCTTTCAATTCACATATTATATTTCAATTTATATTTAACTGTATTGTGCATGATACAATGCGCTACATTTGTTGTGTTACTGTGCAGGACTTACGCGCCATCAACTCAATGGTGCATCTGCGTGCTAACAACGGAATTACCAACAGCGGTAATTACAAGCGTCCCTTGCCAGCCAACGAAGATTCTGCCTACAAACGCCCAATGGCTGGTATCAGTCGACGTCTGTCGACGGTCCTGGACGACAGGCAGCGATCTTCTGACAGTGGACTGACAGAATCCACCTCGTTGCCAGGCTCTCTATCTCTGTCGAATGGCGAGAGCGACTGGGCGGCCAATGTGTCTTCCGGGGCCACGGGGTCTGCAGATCAAGATGAGAATGCGCCTCTGCCTTGAGGGGGTAACAAAAAACCCCAGTTGAACGTGCTATGGAAAGGCGCACTTTTTACTTGAAAATTTTCATATCTGTAATTGATTTTAATATTTTTAAAACGTCTTGTTGCAATTTTTTTGTTGAAATGAGTAAAAAATAAGTATTATGAGTTTTATGGTGGAAAACGTTCTCCTCCGTGGTTCCATTTAAATTTCGATTGAGCCTGTGTTCTCCCCGAGGTAATCAAAATATCTCTTGTTTTCATAGTATTAACGTTTTGGTTAGTCACTGCAAGTTCACCACCTTACATTAATTCTTGAAATTTCTTTCCATTTGGAGCATTAAAAAAAAAGACTAACGATTTGTTTTAACTGAAGTATCTGCAAAGTATTTGCATTACTTTTCTATTGTGATTCCGGGGAGAGTAGTCTTATGATTATATTTGCATGTTTGAGATGTGTTGGTTTTGTGTGGATCATATTGGCATTGAGTTATGTTTGAGGTGTTCTATATAGTGATGTAAGTTTCTTCCTGAGCGAAATTGTATCGCTACTCCCTGTCACTAATGTATAATAAGTTTTATTTTATCATGATATTTCATAAGCCTAACTGGTATTAATGTTTTTAACTTGAATAATTGATTCTTAAATTAATTGATGCGTCAGTACTTCATGAGTTTCGATTGGCAAAAAAAAACTATACAAAAGTATACAAAAACTGTTTTTAATACCGATATTCAGGCAGGATAAGTTGCCTATGTTTGTCTTATACTTGTTATGGCATTATTCGTGCATTTGAGTTTGGAGAACCATTGTTTGTGGCGTTCTTAGCTCGTGCTGAGCGTACTTGATTATCTTGAATCAGCGACAGCTGGATGTTGGTCATTATACATTTTGAGGCTGTTTCTTGGAACCAAGTACATCTGCTACAAATATTTTGTCAGTTTCATTTCGCCGCAATTGAATTATAATATATCGATGCCCACAATAACGAAGATTGCAAAACGTTCATCATTAGCTACGAAAAATTTACTTGAAAAAATAGATTGCAAAAAATGTATTGTATTCACTGTGAGGACTAATCTCCGCAATGAGCAATTTTTTCTAGCTTTAAATACTACTGCTAACCGGACGCTATTAGCTGTTATCTTGGTATCTAGTCATAATGGGGTTGGAAATGAAACAATTTCTTTCTGTAAAAATTTTATACATCGATATCGAGGCTCACCAAGTTGGGGAGAGGATTTTCATTTACAGGGACAACCTAGACGCGACTGGAATGGTTTGAACAGCAATGAAGTCGAGCTAAAAAACGTCTTGAGAAGTATCGCGTGGTATAGACGAACAGTAAAATTCTTACATTGGGAAGGGCCACCCGCCCTGACTCACTTTTTCATGTCCAGCAACTTATTTACGAGCAGATGACAACGTCGGTCATCAAATGCGTACAGACTACGTGGGGCTAAACTTAGTCCACAAAGAAGCGCGTCCATACTGCTTTATTCCAACTTACGAGCTAAGCTAACTACAAGAAAGATGATGCAACTTACATTCGTCAAGGTAATTTATCCAAAGATCTCAAATTCGTCATTTCACACAACAGGTCAAGCAATGCATGACATTCAAGACTACGGAGTGAAATTGTTTTCCTATCATAACTGCAGCATTGAGTCCTCCAATCGTTATCATTCGCCGCCTATTTAAACCTTATCTATTAAGTGGTCAATGTACATAGAGAACATCTGTCTGTTCCTATAGATAGAAGGATAGCCTTGCATTATCGTTCACACACAGTAAAGCTCTATCGATCGATTCCTTTTCGGATTTAAAAATTTGCCCAGTCCAAAGATTTTCTTATAGGCAAGTGCTAATTATTAAGCATAAAATTTTGACTAGTAATGTTTAGGTTTAATCCTTAAAGTAAACTACGCCCAACCATTTAAAACTTAAGAGTTTATTCAACTTCACGAAACCTCTGGGTATTCAAAAGTTTAGTAAGATGAATAATTAGGAAAGTTCCAACTTTAAAACATAAATAACATGATCATAGAGAGAGCACGACGCTGCACCGACCTCGTAATGCAGTAAAAAAGAACACATCTTGCCTCGCTAATTTTTTTTGTTCTGACAGAAATCCCCAGGACAAAATCGAACAGAAAAGCTGGATAAGAAGGTGCTACTCGACTAACCTGCCTGCTCGAACCGAAGTGTATTTAATGATGCTCAATCTTGACTGATGGAGAGCTAGGAATTTGATGGAAAAAATTAATCCTTCTTGCAGTCGATGGTAGATTTATGAGTCTCAAGCTCCTGCTTCGTTTTGAATAATTGTAAACATTTCCGCGGACAACGAAACAAGCGTTTGTGAGCTTTGATTTGATGAATGAGGATCCGCATGGTTTGCGTAGAAGAAAAATTACATTCGGAACATTTCTTCAACTTTCGATGCGTCTTCATGTGGGCAGCGTACATGGTGTATTTGTGGAACTTCTTTTGAGGACCGCAAACTCGACAGAAGTAAGGAATAAATTGTCGAACATGAGTATTCAAATTCAGACCAGGGCGATTACGATTCGGGTCGATGCCTTTCTCTGGCTGGGAAATTTTAGCTTCAGTTTGCAGAGTATTCGAAGCTAAGTCCCCATCCTGTGCCATCCTGCGGCGAGCGTCGTACTCCAGGAAGCCGTGAATGGTCACTACGTGTAGGAACAGAGACATGGGACTAGGCAAGTCAATAACGCAATCGCTGCACCGGTAGAGAGCATTTTCGCTAGCTGGCTTAATACGGGCTAGAACGTTCACTTCAGGATCATTCAAGTGCTCCCTATAAGATTCAGGACCATTCAAGTGCTCCCTATAAGATTCATCCATAACATTCTCCATTCGAGGATGTTTGCGATGAGGAGGACTATCTTCCACGTATTCATTGCTTCTCTTGAGAGGTCGCGACGGCAGCGTGTACTCCACCTTGCCGTCCTGAGAATCTTCACCGAAGTCGTCTTCAGTTCGCTGTTTAGCAGCTAAGGGATCTTCCGTTCTTATTGGTTCTAGAACATCTGACAGTTGGTTGGGGTCGACATTGAAATGCTGTGCGACATGAATCCGGAGAAGAGCTCTGGAGCGACACTTTTTGTAGCACGTACCACATATATTTTGTTCTTCTTGATTCTCATCATCCTGGCATTCACTAAGAGCATATCCGTCTTTCTTCCTCTTTATTTGAATGCTGTGCTCGGCCAGCATATGTTCATTGCGCTCCTCAAACGATGAAGATTGATGACCACATTGAGGACAGTAAAAAATTCCGTGTTGGCGACCCATGTGAGCGCGCAGCTGGCTAGACAGGACAAATTTCATTGGACACAAGTCACAAATGAACTGAGGATTGTCCTTCAAGTGACGGGCTTCGTGGGTTGCGTATTGTTTCTTGCTTCGACACTTGAAAGAGCAGTATTGACACTCCAGCAAAGGACGGTGAGTCTTCATGTGCTTCTGGAACTGTTGACGTTTGCTAAACCCCTTTTTGCACACGGGGCACATGCGGGGAGGTACACGTATAAGCTCGCTTCTTCGTTGCTCAAGCGAAAATTTGTGTTGCTCGTACTGCCTCTCCTTTTCTTCCATTTCCGAAACAAAGAACTGCTTGCTATGATCCTCCACGGATACGCCAGCTTCAAAATCTTCATCATGGTAAGTGATCTCGTGAAGATCATGGACTACTTCCTCATCGTTTTGAAGAGCGCGATCAGCCGAAGGCTCAACAGATGGAGTACCCGAGCCTACAACAACAATAGACAATGAGCATCGAGCTTCTGCCACCTTTTAAATATGGAGACAACGCACAGAAACAAGCAGCAATGCCGGAATGTATGACGTCAAACGCTAAGCAGAGTCCAAGCTCCTAATTTAGAAAATTTAATCAATAGGGAGACGATGGGTCATGTTCTGAGCGTTCAGCCAGTCTGTTGACGCGACTTCGGTCGCAACGGGGAGTTAACTGCGAACACCGCTGCTTATGAGAAGTAATTCCTTTAGGCGAACAAAATAAATGAGGAGCCACTAGTAAATGAGAGTAACCGAAAAGATATGATGTGAAAAACCCTCCTGACCAGAAAACGACCAGGTGAGGAAATAGAAACTGAGGCATTGATTATTTAAGCACGTACACGTGGCGAGCAGTCGGATTGAGCAAAAATACGGCCCTCCTCCCATTAGGTGCTAAGGTAAGAATAATTTATTACAGGCGACGAAATCTAAAATTAAACGAATGACGTCTACGAACGTATGGCTAAAAAATTGTACATAATAAATACATCAAACACAGAATAATAGATGCTGGCAACACTCGACCACACAGTGCATTAATACGTAGAAATAAATAGATCCGAGAAGAAACTGAGAAGTAGATTCGCTACCAAGACTGAAAAAAGTCAAATGAAGATGAAAATAAAATAAATCAAATCGCAATAATTTTCTAACTCAAATTTAACCTGCGTTACCTATTTTTGTAACCCAGCAAAGATGCAACACACGAGGAAACTATTTACTGAATCCCCATTTTTCATATAACTTGAGCCAGTTAGAGCTCCTTCAATTTCCAACAAACGAGTTCATTTAGAGAGTACAAAACATTCAAATATCATAAAAGCCATCACGGAACACACGCGACAATCATTTCATCATTTGATCTACACTAGAAATAATTTATCGCTAGTATGCACATTATGTACATAGAATCATTGTTGTCGATATAATTCGACATCCCAATATACGAGAAATAAGATTAATGAGCTTTAATCATGACGTTGCCACGAGACGACGGATTTGCTCGCACGTCATCACTGAGAGAGCGACGATGAAATTATATTAGGTCGACCACGGGAGAATAGATGTCTCATCGCTAGTGAGGTGATGTTCATAAACAATGACACGTCATTGTCAATACATGTGGAATACGATCCAACATAAGATTTTTGTACGGGTACAGCGCAACACACAAGAGAATGTCAAGCGTAAATAATACACCAAATCTTCTCCAAGATTACGGCAACTAAAACTAGAAACATTTTGATTATTCAGAAGTAGAAGATGAACGTCAACTTTTTGAAGCTAATAAATGGCAATGAACATGGCAGTGAACGATGTTTAAGCGTAACAATAAATAGAAGCACGACCTAAAAAACAAAAATTTTTAAAATCGGTAATTTTTATTGTAGTCAGAATGGATGAGTTCGCATGAAACCAAAAAATATTTGAACTACAAAGGTATAGAAAACATTCAAGACACTTTCATGTAAAACACGCACCCATGACTCTCGAGACTCGTGTCACAACCATTAAACCAATGCGTGTTGCATTGGTTTGAGACCTTTAGCAGAAATGAGTAGACAAGAACCATTGAATGAAATAATTAGTTAGCATGTAAAGAATTTCAACATTCTCATACACCGTTTTGATGTCACAGTGATGACTTCTCTTAAGATAATCCAGGTTTGCGTTAGGTATCCTCTACACAACTTTCAGCGATTGCAAACAAGGGAAGAAGTACCTTGACCAATATAAAAGCAAACGATCCCATAAGATATCTGTATTATTGAAAATTTCTTCATTCTTTTATAAAAACGATTCAAAACATTGAGATAGAAATACGAATAAACACACGGTCGTATACCATTTTTAATTGAACGATATTTAATGCGTTGATGTTCAGCCTCAGAATTCACACAATACCTTTCGATGGATTAGAGTCTATAATTCTTCGATAAGTTTACATCCAAATTACAAACACCGATATCACAAAAATTTCATGAAATGTAGAAGGAAATGTCATTTCAGTTTTATCCGACCACAAGGCGGATTCACCAACACAAAATCAATTTGGAACAAGAAATTCATATTGTCAACCACTAAAATCTATCATTAATTTTAAATAAACGCTTAAATTATACCGAATTGTCATGCACGACACCGGGTTTTCAAGAATATGCAGAGCATCTTCGGTTAGTAACCAGAATAAATTAGAGGTAGACACGTTTCTCTCAATAAAAAGACTACGGAACTCGAGCGATACTGATATACTGAAAGACAGGAACTGAGTCGCTCGAGCGAGGAACTGATACTGAGCGATGGGAACTAGTAAGTGGTCGCGTTCTTTTAACGTCACATAAAAAAAACATCCGAAAGTGCTTGAACCAACATAGCAAGACATCGAAATGTTATCGTATATCAATTGGAGTAAAGTTTTGCAGCAAGTTCAGTACGAGTCGATAGACTAGCGTGCTTGTAGATTCTTTCATTAGAAGTTGTCGAAACGCAAGACTTTATTGGGCGAGTCAGGTCGGTCCGTGGAGTTGCTTGAGTTCTCCTGGTGAGTGTCGAGACTGCTACACGAGTCTTCGGAGCCTGCGTAGGGTGGGTGATAAGGTGCATGCTGAAAATGAGGGTGAGGACTGTGGAATGGAGGGAACGAATGATGATACATCGGAGGAGGGAGATGAGGTGGAAGATGAGGAGGATACCCGTAGTAATGGTGCGGGAAAGCGTACGGTGTGGGGTAGGCTGCGTAATGCGGCGGCATTGAAGGAGGCGTAGGAACTGATGGCGGAGGCGTAGGTGGCGGCGGTGGCGCTGAGGAGGCGGGAGATGGTGTGGTGGGAGTGTAGGGCTCGGCCGTAGGGACCTTGAGGTCAGCCATCTCCTGCGACGCCAGCGTCTCCGCCACGCGACGTACGACAAGTGCCGCCAGATTCTCGCTTGCCACGATTTCGCTGGGGGACGGAGGAACTTTAGCTGATTCAGCAGCAGCGAAGGCTGGAGATTTCGGAGGTTTGACCCCAGGAGGAGATTTTGGTGACTTGGCGTTACCAGCAAGCTTATGTGACTTATTGCCTGAGGTGGATTTAGGTGACTTGACAGCAGAGGGAGACTTGGGCGTCTTAGGACGATTAACTTTAGGACCTGAAGCCTGCAGCGGTTTGCCGGAAGCCTCAGCACGCGCTTCAGCCTTAATTCTAGCCTTTAGTGCGGCAGTCCAACTCATCGAGATCTTCTTTTTATTGATAACCTTCTTAGGTTCCACAACAGTAATGATTTCATTACCGATAGATTCCTCACTGCTCTTGCGTCGAGAACCTCGATCCAATTCATCGTTTCGTTTAAAAATATCAAAGTCTGTTTTCTTCAATTTTTCCACTTCGTTTAAAATCTTTTTGCTACGACAATTTTCAACGCCTGCGGAAACTTTCGAGGCTGCCTGGCTTAGTCCGGTTTTAAGTTTAAATGGCGATTTCTTTGAGAGTGACGCAGGCTTCTTACGCTTTAGTAACAAGTCATCTTCTTCATCTTCCTTGTAAGATAACTCAGTTCGAGTACGCCGCTTATTGGGTAAATTTTCAATTTCAATTTTGTCAATCAACGACAAGCGCGGTTTCTCTTCTGTTACCTCCACTTCGGTGTCGTGCTGTTGCTCTTCTTTTGCGTCGTCATCGTCTTGCTGTTGTTCGCCTTCGCTTGCATCTTCCTCGTCATCGTCTTGTGTTTCAAGTTTAACGTGCGCCGTTTTTGCGTGCTCTTCCAATTCATCCTGAGTTTTGTACAACATGTCGCAACTTGAGCAACGGTGGGGATAATCTTCGTGAGATGTTTTCTGGTGCTGTTTCATCTTTCTGAAAATACGGTAACGTGCTTTGCATCCCTCTACTGGACAACGACGTACCAAGTGAAGTCTTAAATGTTTGTTGTACGGACCACAACTTCTGAATATTCGACCGCAGTGAGGGCATGCTTTAAATGGATACAATGTCTCGTGTATTTTCTTCATGTGGTATGTTACGCTGCTTTCCCTCTTGAATGTTAAACTGCATTTAGTGCAGACAAACAAGTTTCTTTTCTTTATGATATGTGATGGCAATTGATTTAAGCTCGAATTACTTTTGGGCTCAGATGAAGATGAAACAGAAGAAGTGATATCATTCAACGCCGGAGTTTCTACCGACGATGAAAGTTTAGCTTCTTGCATTTCGGCCGCTTGTCGAGCCAAAAGTTCGAGAGCAGCATTTCTGAGCATGAGCTTCGTTTTATCTTTGGGAGGCCTTCCCAGAGGCTTCCTGCCTGGAGCTTTCACCAACTTTATTACATTGTTTGAATGAATACGGGAGTGAAGGCGGAGCTGATACTTGTTGCGGAACTGTTTGTCGCACTCGGTACAGGTAAGAGCCGCAGGCTCAGCTTCATTTATAACTCCCTTTACAGATGATGGTAGAGCAGACCCGCCTCCTCCTTCATGCACTTCTCGCCGATGATGCCTCAATTTAAATGCGTGACTAAAGCCAGCGTCACAACTGGTACAGAAAAATCTTTTCTTTTCTTCAATTTCAGACTCGGAAGAACTACCGTCCGAATCAGAATTTGACCTGGATGTACGACCGTCGTCAATCTTTAGTCTCTTTAATACAGATTGCACTTTGGCATTTGTTGTCTCTATTACCATATCCGGACTTTTCATTCTCCTTGAAGATCTAGAAGGAGATGATCTCATTCTGCTGTGGCGTCTAGACAAGGAACTTTCAGCCCGTTTAACCATTTTTTCTCCGTCAGAAGCTGACGCAGGTTTAGAAGAATCTACCACAGACGGGCGGCTGACCAGACTTTTTGAAGATTGATCTTTGCTCTGGTTGCCATAACTATCAGATTCTTCAGAGGCAACACTAGCAACTTCGGTGAGTTGCACTTTCTTGCACTTGAATTGATTTTCAACATCAGAGTTTGCACTTTTCGAGTCATTCGCAAGCCTTTTGTCCAATTCTCCCTCAGACTCTAGAGGCCCGTCATTTGTTTCAGAATTAGTACGCGACATCGGGAGAACGGTTCTTGGCTCACTTCTCTCGCCATGGTCCGACTCATCCGACGAGTCGGCTTGTACGGGAGGTTTTAATTTGGGTTTTCTGCCTCTCTTCCGCAATACTTTGGCTGGCTTAGGTTTGGAGCTAGCAGAGTCACTCTCTTCGGCCGTCGTTTCTGCTCGTTCTCGGTCCGATTCGCCTTTAGAACACGGAGCGTGTTTCCCATCACATTTATCTTCACCAAGTTTCATCTTTTCGCTTTGTGTTGCTGTACTGTGGCGAGGCGAAGTAGTCTCACTCTCATCTTGGTTTGGTTCGGACCCTTTATCTGTAGTTGGAACTTTAGCGACTCTCGTTTCAGAATGAGCTTCTTTGCTTGAATTTCCCACTTTGTTCATCCCAGCTAGATTATCAGAAGACAAATCAACTCTCAGTCTTTTACTAGCAGGCTTTGATATACCTGGCTCTATTCTTTGGGTCTTAGACTTAGAACTCTCTTCTTTGGTTTTGTCATCAACGTCAGATCCGCTCTCACTCTGACGACTCCTCTTACGTTTGTTGGTGGACGCACCAGGTCTGTCATCGAAACCATCACCGTTTTGAAGATGCTCCCGAGCAGGAGGCACTTCTTGGTCCTGATCAGCAACTACGTCGGAGCCCAACAACTCGAGTTCCTTATCGTTCTGAAGGTCTTCAGCAGGCGGAACCTGAATATCGGCCTTCGAGAGACTAGGGTCACAGTTTACAGTGGCTTCAGCAGTGTTAGACTGGAGCTCTGAAGGATCGCAGCCAAGTCTCACGTGATTCTTGAGATGATGCTGCAGCTTGAAAACTGCACCGCAATCACCACACGCAAAACTGTTAACTTCCTTATGTTCCTTTAACATATGGAATTTCATGTTGTACTTTCCGGTTACCTTAATCCCAACATTACAAATAGGGCATTTTTTCATAAATTTGTGTTTGTGTTTCACATGAGCAATCATTGCTGCTCTTTTTCTAAATCGGGATGGACAAAAATCACAATAAAATTTTTGATTCTTTACAACAGGAGAAGCCTTCTTCTTTTTAGCCATGCCCAGGAATCTTCCACCTTGTGGTTTGACGCAAATCGGGAAGTCTTCGTCGTCCTCTTCCTTGTGTAGAAGCTTCATTTGTTGGCTTAGTATAGATCCCGGAGCAGGCCGCCGCACCGATAGCAACGACGAACACCTCCTCAAAGGTCCCGATAATACGACGCCAGCTCCAGAGTTTTCTGTGAGCAACGGAGGCGTTGGTGGACGGAACATGATGCCAGTCGACTTCACTTCTGCTTTGGTATCGGTTTTAGAGCCTACAGAAGCTTTCGTTTTCGATCCTGTATTGACGGTAGCGGTCGAGGGGGAGGGAAGCGTGTGACCGGCAGATGAGACGTACGGAGCAGGCAAGCTGTAGTAGTGATGTTGAGGATAGCTAAGCGCGACGGTCGCTCCTAGTGCGGGCCTTTGTGGAGAAACAGGCCCAGCAGCAGCAGGCGCGGGCGCCGGAGCTATCATGTGATAGACGCCCCTGACATGCACCGGAGGTCGTCCTCTCATGCCATGTTTACGCTTGCCCCTCATGAAAGGAGGGGAAAGAGGAGGAGGTCCTCCTCCAGGGGTTGGCATGTAGTATCCTCCAGAAGTGAGTGGGGGAGGAGGAGGCATAAACTGATGTGAACCGTATGCAGCTGAAGCCTTTTTTCCTGTTCGGGAACGGGGCGCTCATTACTGGAGGGCACCGCTTCACTAATAACTTTCAAGACATTGAATATTTTCCATAGCTGAATGAAAATAAACAGCACGGCCAGAGGAGAAAGTGAGCCATAACGATTTCGTACACTACTGCCAAGACACACCAATAATAGACAACAAGATATTCAAGGAAATTACGAAAGAATGTTTTACCAGTGAGTGGGATAAAGGAATCGAATGAAGAACACATTAATTTTACATGAAACTCTGCTCTAGCTGATGTGGAGTTCAAGGAAGTAAGCCAAAAAATTATAGTTGCTCAATAAATATTTTATCCATATTGCTGCTTGTTCCAGTTCGTTGTAAATTCATAAGTAAAAAATTAAAATTAGCACAGGCTAGTCAGCTGATATTCGAAACAACTTACCGCACTATAAAGGGAGGAGAATAGGAGAATTAATTAATGGTTAATTGTAAATACTGTTTATCAGACATGGTATCGAGGCAAGCAGCTCTGCTTCAAAGAGATTCAATTACTACTGTTTTGAAGTGTATGTATATACTATATATAAACGTAACCACAAATTAGAAAAAAATATGCTTGCAGCAAGGATAAAACAATTAAAATTTGGAATGTGATCAAAATATCTGGATGAAATTCTAATCAGAACAGCTGTTATAATTTAATTAAGCAAGTTATTGCAGCAGTTGAGCTTTTAGCTAGAACAGCAAAAGAGAGTAGATAAAAAAATAGAGCATAAACTGCACTGCATATAGAATGAACAACGTGTGTAATAATCATTAAATATGGAGCCTTACCTTGCCACTCCAAGGTCTGGTTGGCGCCGTCATAGTCGAGGGATTCTTCCATTTCTTCGGTTGATTCGAAGTCTTCCTCGGCCTACACACAGAAAGAGAAGTATAGCAACACGAGCATAGTCAAAAATTCGTTCTACATATTTCAAAATGATCATGTAACATTAGAAATACGCCACACAAATTCACAACTACCACCTTATGTAACGGATTTGGACCGTGGATGCATGTATGTTAGAGACACTCACAGCTCCAGGATTCCTGACGTGCTGGTATGCGTAGGAAGGATACACGCCAGGGTGGTAGCCTCCTTCAGGTCCAAACGAGTACACGTCCAGACCACCGTTCCTGTGCCCAGCAGAACCACCGTACATTGTCTCTTCAGAGCAGTCCAACATGACTCCGATGAAGTCGGCAGAAATTTCAAAATCTTCAGTTGGTTCAGCTGTACACAATCTCAAGAGAACAGTTCCTTTCTCTTCTAAAGCAGCACGAAGCTTTGGAGAGTCCCAAAAGGAGTTGGCAATACCTTTTACGGGCTTCACTTTGAAAATAACCGGGCGTTGTATTTCAGCTTCAGAGTTCTCCAGCTGAGGTCGTTTAGACTGCATCTCATCATTACACTCCTCAGCAAAAGTAGGTTTGCTCATATTCAGATAAGGGGAACTGATGTCAGCAAATTCTTTGCTCCTTCCGTCACATTCAGTTGTGGAATCACCATCAGCCGATTCCTCAACTGCCTCACCAAAAGCACCAACAACACTATTGATGACTAAACCACCAATACCATCCGTCTCTTCAGCATCGTTTTCCAGTACATGCATTGCAGTAGTGCATGATAGGACGTTGCCCGAGTCTTGCAGTTCCTCGTCTATACCCACAAAGAGTTTCCTATTATCAGATTCTTCCTCTTCCTTTTTGCGAGCCTCTAGAGCCGCCACGTCCAATGCTTGTAGCACACCACCAACCACGGTCTGCAACACACCGTTGCTATTCTCACAAGCAAGGGACTCAGCAAGATCGTTATTGTCATGCATTCTGTCCTGACTATGAGACGTTTCTTCAGGCATTAATTCATTTGATGCAGACTGATCCTCATCAAGTGATTTGCAGGCACCAAGCTCTGCACTGCTCTCAGAAGAATCTTCATTGCTCATGATTTCAGATAAATTGGAAACAGTCTTCAGAGCAGGAGATATTTCAGGAAATATACACTTCTCAATGACATTTTTATCTGTGCTTGATTCAGGGGTACTGAGCTCAATGTTTGCTTCATCCACCTCATTACTGGAGGTTTCAGCTTTGAGAGGTTTTTCTGCAGTAACAGCCATAAATTCCGTATTCATTGCTGGCTTGAGCTGCACAGCATCTTTTCTATCAGTAGCAGCTGCTGAGCATACCGAATTTGACTCGACAGGAAGCTCTTCAAAAGTTTCAGCACCAGCACAACTAGTTTTGATTATGTCAGTCACGATTGGTATATCAGTTGGCACAGCAATTATTTTAGTTGTAGAATGCAATGAAATCGCAGGTACATCTTTTTCACTTGTGCTCTTACATTTTCCATCAGCCAGAGAATTGATTTGAACTGATTCATCAACTACATCAGTATCCATCTTACAAAAATCAGCATCTTCCCCTATGTTACCCTGAATAACCTGATTAGTTGACACTTCATTACATCCACTTGGTGCTTCATCACAAGCTGTTGATAGTTCAATTACCGGTTCAGTTTCCATGACATCCGCTTCAGCCTCTTCTGTAACTTCAGCCGATGCCTGGCACTTGTCAGTGTGTGATTCCTCACTCAATTGGTCATTGTCTTCTTGCTGCAAAATAATTTTAGGTACAGTAACTGCTTTTACATTATCGTTTTCCAAATCATTCGCAGGGTTCAATGTGCATTTAGTTTGCTCATAGACATCGGAAGAATTTTCTGACTTGTTCCTGGTAGCTGATGCACATAATTCTGACTGACTGAAATTTTCAGGGCACTCCACTGGCCCACTATCAATGCATCTAGGCAGTTCTAATGCACATTCTAACTGTATTTCCTCAGAAGAAGAGGTTTTATCAGCATTCGATAAATTATTTTCTACAGGAAGATTTGGGGAACTATTTGCAGTAACTGGATTAATTGTTTCATTTTGTCCTGTTGCTGGATGTGCATTTGCTTCAGATCCATCCTCACACTTTGTATCAACCTCATTTACTGCATGCACAGTGGATGCTTCAATAGTATCAGCTTGTGCTGCTGATTCAGGGGTTGAACCCGATAATTCTACAATTAAACTATTTGAGCTAAATGATGGATTATCAGAAGCACTGGTGACTAGCAGGGGCTCCAGCTTTGCAACATTATCTTGGGTTACATGTTCTTGACAGGGATTGGTGCAGTTCAATGCATCAGATGGCTGGCATGATGAATTTGCTTCTGTTTCAGTATTCACAGGCAACTTTTTATTGGGTAACTCTGGTGTAGACATCTTCATTTTTATTTCTACATGCTCTGAACACGAACTAACAGGACCAGAAGGCTCCTCAAAATTATTTAAGCACATTCCATCATTTGGAAGCTGATCAGCTTCAGGAGAAGAACTCATTGACTTGGATTCAGTGGATGTTAGTAGAGAATCCTTGCTGCTGGTTTCATCCAAACTCAAACTACTGCCACTCTTGGTAAAAGCCAAACTGTCAATAGAATTAACAGATAATGAATCTTCTTTGGTGTCCATCACAACAGGATGACTGAGTTGTTCTAGAAGAGGAACGCGATTGTCTATGTTATTGATTTTGACTGCTGACTGACAAGGCAATGAAGCATTGTGGGTAGGAAGCACAGACGAAGGTAAATGATTGAGTTCTGCAGAAGAAACACTTAAACTATTCTTTGACTCTTCTTCTAGAACATTGGCACTATCAGCTTTATTTGAACACAAATTAAAATGAGAATGTATATTGGTTTTTGTCAATTGCAGGTGACTTGTGTCATTGGATTGACTCCCATCAGTATTGGGATTATTCATGAGAGAAATATCATCATTAGGCCCAGATATAGAAATATTTTTTCCATCAGATATACTTTCAATGTGGCCTATTTTGGAGCAAATGGCTGGTGACTGATGAACATCGATGTTGTTCAAAATTCTGTCGACAGGTTTTGAAGTTGAAGCTTCAATGACATCAGAATTGACATCATTCAACAACTTCTCATCAGGACCACCACTACATGGCACCCTGAGCTCAGTGCTGTTGCTGTCTGCTTCAACTCCACAGTCAACGCCAGGCAGCACAGGCACAAGGTCTGATGGTGGTGGTGGTGATAAACTTGATAGGGTGGAATCTGCCATCCTTGCTGGTCCTTACCTAGAGACAAATGACATGAAATCAACATTACATTAAATCAATCAACTAATGGAGCATATGACATTTTACAATTATTAAGGGGATTTGTATAGCTATAGCTATAGTTGTTCAATAATCCTGAGTTTCTTTAAAGAAAAACCAAACACAAAAGGAAACGTAATCACAGGCAATGCTTGGTTTCAGACAGAGCTTAACATGAATATATATTTTATGAAATTCTTTGAAACTCCATGAATGTTTGGCTACTACTGTTAAGAAGCCAATAAAGAAAAATAAATAAGAATTTCATTAGGTTAAAACTACACAAGAATTACATTTCATTACATCACATTTTACCAATCAGAGCCTCATTGTTTCAATAGAAAGACAACAGTACATAAGATGGTTAAATGGTTTCTCCTACCATACTTAATGCTTCACATCATACTTAAAGTGAATTATGGTACAATTATTAATTAAAATATTAATTATACTTTAGTTAAATTAAATTAAATTAATTTTAGCATATCCTGGATGGAAATTGTTAATGGAATAAATAGATTACACATCAGAATCAGCAGTTTAGTAAATATTCAACTTTCATGTACATTAGAATTTCATGGCTTACTCTCTAAATTGTTCATTACATGACATATGTTCTTATTTAACAGCATAATAGATGCAATGAAATGCATCCTTAGCTTTCACAAAAATGACAACAAGCTGTCCTCAGTATAGGAAGTTGTTTACTCAATTCATCAACACAATGAATGTGAACGCAATGCAGTAGCTTGAACATCATAGGAGGAGATAGGTCTGCAATCAGAAAATTTCAAGTGTTCAGGAGAGCAAAAACTGTAATTTGTGATCACTGAAGGCATAGGTTTTGCATGTGCTTTGATGCCAATTGATGGATGTTGTGAATGAACAAACATGGCTTTGGTGTTGTTGGATTTGCAATTTTTAGACCTTTAAAATGATACTAAAAACTGAAAAAGCCAAAATTGCCAATTTTTTTTACCCTTTAAACTTGCATTTTTTAATATTGAACTTCTGATAAGTAATTATGAAAATGACTAAATAAGTCACCCAAAAAATTTGATGAACCATCACAAATCACAATATGAAAGTAGGCATGAAGGAGACATTTGGTGGTCACTTTTTTTATTTCACATAATAGTGATGATATTAATAAAAGAGTGCCTTTTTAAGACACAAATTGAAGTTTTTTTTTCAATGGACAGCACTACAAATACTTATTAAATATTGATTAACTTGATCAAATCTCCCAGGAAATTGGGTTCCTAAGGATGTTATAGGGTATTTCATTTCATCTCTTATATCCCAAATCCCAATCCATGGAATGAACAAAAATATGTGCAGGTCTGCAATTTGTTTCTTGTAAGTTACCACTTATTATTACATACATGGATGGCTTTAAATTGATAAAACTGTACTTTGACTATAGAAAGCTACAATATTCAGAATGTCATTTTTGAAACAATTATAAGGGGAAATATTTCTATTCAAGAAACAGCCCAAAATTCTACTTAAGAGGAGCATGTCAATGCTCCCCTTCTACTTAGGGGAAATATGTACTTAAGCATGTTATTAATAATAATATAAGACATTAATCAAAAATACAATCTTATTGAAATAGGTATTAATTTATTACCACATAGCATAATACTATTCAAGGCTTATCTAATGATAGGAATATAAAAGCAAGATTTTCACACAATCATTGAATAGCATAAATAATTTATTTCAGTTAGGCAAGCATAAAAAAACGCAATATTTGTGCCAGATACTGAAAATTTATGTAATGCTTAATCTATACCGTAAAATGGGGTAACTTAGACCGGCGGGGTAACTTAGACCACTTTTTGTTTTTTTAACATAAACCCCCACAACTCAAAAAATATTTGACATAGAAAAATTTTGTCAATGGGCATTAGAGGCCTTATACTGAGGCTACATTACACAATAGAAAGATTTGAAAAGTTTGCATATCTAATAGGTTAAAAAATTTAAAATGTGACCCACAAAAAAAAAAGCTATTATTTAAAGCCTGTCAGAGTACCCCCTACAATTTTTTTATTTTTTGGTTAAATAACTCCAGGTTTTGATGCATTGTAGTAGAACTCTTCTAGTTACATATGCAAATGACAAAGTTTAGGAAAGTGTCATAGTTTGCAAATGGGGGGCGCTGCCCCCAAATGGGGTAACTTAGACCACCTAATGTCAGCCCTGACGGGGTAACATAGACCGGCTTGGAAGTTAATATAAAATTACCATATATAACATATTTTATGTTTGACAGCCTATTTACGTTTTTTCTTTATGTTTCAGACTCTACAGAGTCTTATATATGGTAATTTTAACTTAATTTCCAAGCCAGTCAATATTACCCCATCAGGGCTGCCATTTAACTTTGCTATTTTTGAGGATTCATTATAATTATTCCCATATATTCTTAAGTTTGATTAGCGCTGTTTTGCTTAACACGGTAAAACTCGGGGATTTATTAACCGCGTTAATCAAGGGATTGCTGTATATATTCCACCCCTGTGCACAATTAAGCTGCCAAATAAATAATAAAGCTCCAAAAATTCAATCACCATTTTGATTGGATGCAGTCAAAACTCTCAACTTAGTAATTTTTTTTTTTTGAATAATCAAGAGGATGAGTTAAATAGATTTTTAATGCATGAACGATCTGCTAGAGACTGCTACCATTTCATCACATAAGTCAGGACACAAAACAGCATGTGGATAACAAAATGATATAATAAAAATTCATGCTGGAAAACTTTGTCTTGAATAAGGTAGGCTATTTCTGATTATCTACATAGGATACAACAAACTGATATTTTAATTATGTTAACTCGTGTTTGGAATAGGATCGGAATTTTTCTACTTGTTTCTGAAATCTCATGGCTCCAAGCCTCCAACATGACAAATTTTTAATACAATTGGAATCTCACGGCCTGCTTGTGCACTTTTGTTAACAATTAGTTAGGAGGTAATTCATAATAATATAATAATAGCAGTTTCAGCGTTATTAGGCCGTAGCTAGGCCTGTTGCCGATTCTTAACATTGCAGAACATTCACAGCATTTTGCGGTCTCGAACCCGCAACTCACTGCTACAGTTCTGCTATGCTTAACCGCCCGGCCTCCTTGCCGATTCTGACCAGAAACTGGCGCACATAGCTGGGATCGAACCCACGCCTCTTTGCGCCAATCTTGGTACTCTGAACTTTAACCACTGGGCCACCATCATCCATCTGGGCCACCATCTGGAACCGCAGAAATGGCAGGAAAGTTCTAGTCGTTGGCTTAAAGTAAAGGTAGGCTAGATGTTTTCCATAGAGTAAACGCGGTATATTCCGACATCGTGGGTAATTCCGTCACCTCTCTAGTTTTTCCTTTATATTAAGCTTTGTTTTAGTTCCATGCGTTCGTTGATGGTTGAAATGGTGACGTCATACATTTGCGCGTCAAACTACTGCCAAAACACTAGGTCTTGGCCATCTAGCGGAAAAATATTGAGATCCAGAGACAATGCATGCTACCCAGTGAGATCATCGAAAAATGTGTCAAATTTGACAGTTGACCTTGCTCTACCAAATAGTGAATAACTGTTTGTATAGGAAGAATATTATAGTTTGAGACTTTTAAATACATCTGTGAATATATTAGGAATCCTTTAAGTATACTTGTATTTGCTGATTTCAAGTGGTAAATAAATTAATAGATGATTAAGTTGAGAAATGGATTTAGACACATGAAAACTAATTCCATCATAACTTGAATTGGACACACACAGATCATTCCAAGCTGTGTACAAAAATTAAAATTTGCTTAATTAAAAGCTTAATAGTTGTTAATTAAAAGTGTAATTAAGTAGTGTTCAATATTCATTAGTGTTCTAATTCAAAGCCGTGTTGTATTCCAATACAGCTCACACAGCAAACGGAATTTATTTTGCATGTTTCAATTCAAGTTTAATTTAGCTAGAAAAAAATGGCATCATTTATAAAAATAAAAGTGGTCTAAGTTACCCCATTTTACGGTACACTACTTAAAATGTATTCATGCATTAAATTTCAATATTTTATAACATAAGGTGCTTGGCACAACCAGAATTTTATTTTCTGGTTCTTGAGTGTCTTTTCTATAAGCTCAAAATATCACAGTCCAATCAGGCACTTTTGTTTAAAAATAAGACACAGAGTAATTCATCCAGTGATAATCTTGTGGCTCCAAAATTTACAGGAAAGATCTGGTTGCCAGTTGCCACCTCAAAGGAATACAGCAATCCCTTGATTAGCACGGTTTTGAATACCGCGGTTTTGATCAACGCGGAAAAAAAATTTGCGACCTACCCTTAATCTACGCGGTGCCAGTTTTGATTAGCGCGACTTTTTTTTCACAACGCATCATTTTCCCGCCTCTAGCCAGAGGTGTTACGTTCGTAACAAAAGTGTTACTTTTTGCTTATTAGATCTTATGTTGTTACTTTTGTTACGACTTTTGGAAAAATTCGCCAAATGTTGTTACTTTATGAATTTCAGCCAATAATTCTTTAAATAAGGTCCCGTTCCGTAGGCACCTGTCTCTTATACACATCTAGATGTGTATAAGAGACAGTTCCAATACAGCTCACACAGCAAACGGAATTTGAACACGTGGATGACGGCATTACGTATCAGTAGAATTTGAAGCGCGGACGGAATACGCCTCACCACGTGCCTAATATAGCCACACACAGTGACGGAATATAGGGATTTGGTAGGTTTGCATTCTAAAGGCTTTTAAATAAATATGGCAACATTTTGTGACGTTTCGTTGTTGCTGACGTGTTGTACGGTGTTTTGAGAGTCACATAAAGCAAACAGAACTTGAGTAACGCATACGGTTATTTTTTTATAGTTTTTCATTTCTCGATGAGTCCTTAATGTGACGGAATATACCGCGTTCACCCTACTTGTTTGCATAGTGGCAAAGCAGAGTTTTTTTAGACTCTCCTTCAAGTTCATTTTTGAGTCCTATAAGTAGACCTGAAAAGTATCATGGATACCAGCATTATCATATTCAATAAATTGGTTGAAATCTTGAGTGAATTAGGAAATTTAAAATGAACTGATTCTAAAAAATCTCTGGTTTGTCACTATGCTTGTTTGGAATCAAACATGAGAATCCCAAATTATGACTTAGGCTTCACTTAGTTAGCTATCTTGCACAATGCACAGCAACAATATTTTTCTTAGGTACCGTAAACTGGGGTTACTTTGACCGGCGGGGTAACTTTGACCACTTTTCGTTTTTTCAACAAAAACCCCCAAAACTCAAAAACGATTTGACATAGAAAAATTTTGTCAATGGCCATCAAAGGCCTAATACCTGTCTCTTATACACATCTAGATGTGTATAAGAGACAGATGTTACCCCATCACAGCTGCCATTAGGAGGTCACATTTTGCCCATTGCCCCCCATTTGCAAACTATGACACTTTCCTAAAATTTGTCTTTTGCATATGTAACTAGAAGAGTTCTACTACAATGCACCACAACCTGGAGTTATTTGGAGTTATTTTACCAAAAAAATAAAATTGATTTTACCACCCAGTCAAAGAAACCCCAAGAGCTAGGGTAACAAAGACCATCACTTTTTTTGAAATGACATCAAAACTATGAGAGGCAGGAGCCAGCAATTTATGGTGAGTAAAGCTAGAGTATAGACCTGTATTTTGCATGTTTCAATTTAAGTTTAACTTATCTAGTAAAAAAATGGCATCATTAAAAAAAAAAAAAGTGGTCAAAGTTACCCCATTTTATGGTACCTACTTGCCATGCTATATTTTTTCTAGTGTAGCCACAAAGTTTTTGTATTATTATTTTTCTGTTAATGAAGTCTAAAAAATGTTAGGCAATAAATTCTTGTGCTGAGTTGTGCATTCTCTAGTATCTTGATTTCTAGATATTTTTAGCATAGCTAGGTAATCCAAGACTATTCTAAGTCTCAAAGTTCCCTATTAATTTATGAAAACAATAAATTTGTGACCATAAAGGTATACCCGCTATGTTGAAATAGTAATTGAATGATAACTGATAAGTCATGACTCTGTCACTCTGTTAAGTCTGTACTCTGTACACGTGTACAGTGAACACTCAGAGTCAGTGGAGTGAGTAGGCTACCTAAACTCACGACTGACGAGTTGAATAACCTCCCTCACAGCAACGGTCAAATAGGTTCATTTATTTAAGAGAGCAACTCGTTTTTCAGTGGTCCTTATAAGCAAAAAATAACAACACATTTACCACAATCCTAAAAATATGAGAGTAAAATTATTTGCTATGAAACGAGAAAAACAAAAACGACGTAGAGTCTTTGTGTTTTGGAAATCATGAAATTTCTCTTTTTGACACTCGGACGGCCTCAGAAAAAATTCACTCTTAAAGAATAGCATACATATGCCCGGACAATAGGTTTCTGTAAATAAAATTCACAAATCTTACCTCCTACATTTATTATTGGTGTCAATAAGTAATTTCTATGCTCATAATGATGCGTCGTTACAATAATAACAAGCAATAAACGCCATTTTGCACAACAAAAGCCATAGAGGCGTCATCTTGCCATTTCTCTTCCGGGATTCCCTTGATCAGTCCGTGAAAATTGAAATGATGTTTATTGTGACCAATTACCTATGTTGAAGCAGCTGCTCAATATTTAACACAAAATTTAAGAATGTTAAAAACGTTCCAATTGCATTATTATTAAAAAATTGATAAAACTACATTCTAAATCATCTAAGAAAGCTACTGGATTAGTGACCGAATTCTAAAATATTTGAACCCAATTACATACTCCACTTATGAGTGACTGAAAAATTCTCTGATAACATCATGATTTCATTTCATTTAAGGTAAAATGTTCTCTAAAACTAGATTTTTTCATCTAGCGGGTTACTCAAAAGTTTTGCATCCAGAATTACCCTATTCGAAATAAAAATTACTGCGATCCTATGACATTTCTACCGTAGTCTACGTTAACTATCTTAATATTAAATAATTTCATTGAACTCGAGATGTATCTAAAATTGCATAGAATACTTAAATTATGTGAAATAATATCTTTGATCAAACTGTGAATGATGATTTATTTTTAGAGCAGACAATGTGTATATTCTTTATTCAATGATACAGGTTATTTACTGTTTACGACATTCTATCAGGTCAGCCTGGCATTTACCCTGCTTGATAATATAATCTAATCCTTTTTCAAACCCGTTTTCTCAAATCCTGGCAATACCGTGAGCTCTTATCCCATTAATAACAATAATCAATTTAGCGCGTTCCTATTAAATTATGACTGATTCAAAGCCACATATTACATAGAAGATAATTTTAATTATCGTTTCAGAACGCACAAAAAACTATTTTTCTCATTGAACCTAATTTTTAATCAACGATTGCAAAACAAAACCAAACAGTTTCTTTCTGATGCGGCGCCAGGCTTTGAGCACAAAAACCGGCTCATTTTGTCCGGCAAAAAACAAAATATTATTCGCATTCAGGAATCTCATGACTCTTAACTCAGAGTTCATCAATAACAATAGCTGACCACTGGTGGAGTAAAATATTTGAGTTGTTCGAAGCTACAAGTATTCTTCATGTTTTTTTTGTGGTTAATAATATAGATCGTCATATTGTAGATCGATGACATTTGTATCGTAGCGAAAAGTGCAGATTGTTACTTAGGGACAACTGTAAACGCTTTATAATTTGTCACACACTACGACTCATATTTGGATATAAAAAATTTCATTTGATTCGTAACATATTTTGGTAAACACGATGAATAAATGAAATAGCTTACTCTATAATTAATTGGTTGCATTTAAAATATTTAGATCACAGTGCGTGGCAGCAAAAAAAAAAACAACAGATTGATGTTAGAACTCTTGAAACAGATGATGTTAGAATGGTTTTAACATGGAAACGAGCAATATTCAATTCCAATAGATGTGCCTTGGTGTGCTTTGTTTTAGACCGAGACGCTACTAACAACGCAACATGTCATCATACATCGATTGCATGCCTCTGTCTCTGGATGAGCGACTGTGGCGACCGATGATGAATTTAGAGCTATCAGCGAAATTCAAGGGCATCAACGTACAGTAAATACCTCAGATCAAGTGTACATTGCACGGTGGTTTTAAGGCCAGTATAATAAATGTCTACGAATGTGCAATATTTCAATAGACTTATTCGTGTGAATAATTGATGAAAGCGAAAGAGTTAACTGATTTTCATATTAAAGTGAAAATAAAATGCCATGCCCGTCTTCTAAGTAGTCACGAATGCTGTCTTCTGTTCTACGAAAGTGAAGACGCGAGAAAAAAAAAATCGAAGAGATTTTGCTCCTGTTTGCGCCGCAGCATAAAAAAAGTAAAAATTGCCAACAAAAACATTGATTTTTATGACCCTTGTAGCACAAAGCTTTCAGAATACTGTCCTGATAAGTGAAAATGAATAATTACGCTATATATAGGCCAAACCAGCCTGTATATTGCGTCATATTCTATATTTCCCCATCTGAATTTGCATAATAATTTCATTTTTTTCGCCTACAAAAGCGGGAGAGGCGAACAAATTCCAACTCCACCTCACTTCAGCCCTCCGAATTAATTCAACATAGTAACTTTTTATTGCATTATCTCATTTATGGAAGAAGGTGCTGTTGTGCTCGCCATGTCCGCCTGTCCGTCCGTCCGTCCGTCTGTCCGTCCGAGACTTCACGTTTTCGTCTACGAGAAAATGCGCTCTCTATCACTCATGGCAGTGAGTAATGAGTTATATTTTTTCAATATAAGCTTTTCATATCTGTCAATATCTCAAAGAATTTCATGACAGGAATAATTCTAAGGAATCGCAGATTCATTTATATGCGATGATTGAAAGCCTGAGCGTGCAGAGTTGATGAAAAAGTCTATGCAATCTTCAAGACAACGCACTCTATAGACGAAGTCTATTATTACAAATAATGTGCTATAAAAATTGATCGTCGTAATTTTTTAGAGAGTTTTTGTAAACATTTATATTCAGTCTTACAGATCTGGATATTTCCGGTTACTTCTATGTCGTGTTCGGAGTGCACTTCACTATTGGTAAAATGCAAGCCAGCGGAGCTGCGGTCCAATGTTCAATATATAATTTGAGGCATGTTCAATTTGTTTTCAAACTTTGGAGCGTTAGTAGAAGCTTTTTTAATCGAGAACCAATTATCCTTTAGGTAGTAGTTTGGTCGGCGACATTCATGTTTGACAATGAAATGACTGAGATTAAAATTCCAGTCGATGCAGGGCACGAAACTGCTGTTACAACAGTCCATAGCTATTCATCAAAGTGAACTGTACCGACTACCGAGTTCATCTGTGCGCTTAAAGTGCAAAATGAATTCTAGAAAATATCATCAACGAACAGTTTAATGAACTTATTGTGTGGTGATTGTTCGTTGTATAGGTCCACAGTAATAACAAAATACATTGAGAATAAAAGCCGCCCTGTCAGCTAATTTGCTGCTAGCGCCCTAACGTTATGTTATGATGCAGCCAAGCGTTTCTTCACTCAAATGGCGTGACTTTTTGACGATGTTCATACATTGTTCATATTGCTTCAGATTTCCGTGCAGTTAATATGAGGTTCTAGTATGGTTCAACCTTAGTTCATTATTCTTATTCGATTTTACGACAATTTTAATACAAAAATTTGATGAATATGGCTCCTTGCAACATGTCACTGAAGAAGAAATTAGTCTGTTATTCGGAATGAAATTTATTTGACTCTTATACTATCGATTAGAACATTTCCCGTGTACAAGCACTTTCAAATTTTCTTGCATTTCGGGCAACAATAGACAAATGATAATCAGTTAAGATATTTATTTTGCAATAGTATCACTATGAGGATTATTTATAAAATAGAGAAATAGTAAAAAGAGATGCTGTAAAATTTATGTGATTCCGTCGCAAATACGGCGTATGGCCAGACATTCATTGGCCCCACTATAAAATATAGACATATTGAAGATTTAACTTTGAAAAGTGCATTCGAAGTGACACAAATTTTCGGAGCTCAAATGAAAGGAAAATACGAAACATTTATTATGATGAATTATACGAAAAAATGGGATTGGTTTCAATATAAGTTCAACGGTGGGAGCATCGCACTATGGGGTTTAATTTATATATAATTAAGTGCAGCTAAATAGTGTCCATCGCGTCGACTAAAGGCAGTCAATATCTTGATTAAAGTTAGGTCGGTCCTGATGACGAAATTCATGCTCATGCGGTCTCGGCTCCCTTTTTTCAGAGTAAAGTTAGCAAAGTGGTAAATCAGAGCGATTATTTCTCCCGCTTAGATGGCCTATTATTAAATTGAGCCAATAATTTAGTATTTTTTTTTTACTTTTGACACGTGGTGATTATTAAGTTAACTTTTGCACTTCAAGTATAGGGTATTAATAGTATAGTACTTACGGACCACATCAGCGCAGAGTGTTTGTAACTACCGGTATATCTGATCAGTCATGCCACGAACATGACGCTGACAAGTTGACTCGCATCATTGACTCTTATTTATTAAGACTGACTGTGGGTACAACGTTGAGTTTGTAGTGGGCAAGGCTTCCGAGGTCAGTTGCCGCCGAGTGACCGAGGCGAAAGGGTGTCTTCGTTTGTTCGTCTCGGTTACAGTTTAGTGGAATCTGCGAGGTGTTGAAATTTACTGTAAAGTTGGACATTGTTTGTATCATTTACGAATTTTGCTTGTTGCAGCGTAGTACTTTTTACTTCATTGACGAGTTTGTGCATATAATAAATAATTGTGCAGTGCACGAAAAAGAAAGTTTAGAGTATTTTAATGCTCATAAAGTGAACGGCTGATTTGATGCAGAATAAAATCTTGTTTGAATATAAGACCTTCCAAAAACTTTGTCTCCAGTCAAGAAGTTTAATTTGACTAATTTCCTTGCGTGCGGACTAAAATGCCGTTATAATAGTGGATGCATTATAAAGAAATTGATCGAATAATAAATTATCTGGCAAAGGTGAAGACCATGATGAGTTTGTCTTGATAACAAAAACCACAATAATTTCAACTAAAAGCGATGTTTTCAAATTGTTTCCTGAACAATGACAATAATCATCGTAATAATAATCTAATAATAATCAATCTCGCATAGGAAACCTTCTATATAACATTTAATGCTGTAATGCCTGCTCTTGATTATAATTGAAACTTTATTTTATCTCTCCGCTCTATCTTGTAGTTATTTATTATCTAACTTCATATTTCTTCTCAAATTTAAGTGAGATGAAATAAACTGACAAAATTAACTTAAATTAACTTAATTAGTTTGTTTATCTCAAACGAAACGATTGATTATTGCAGAATATCGTGTAAGCTTGTGTGCATTTACATAGATTTAATCACTTATTAATTGAACGTTTAGGAGGTTTCAATAGTTTTCAATTATCTACCAGTGAGTGTGCAGATTGGCTATCGTGCCGCATATGTGGTGACTGAACTTGGATTGACGAACTATAAGGAAGAATGTTGACA